AGGTCGAGACAGGCCTGCATGATGCCCAGCGGGCCCGCGCTGAGGACCAGCCTCTCGAGGTCCAAGCCTTCCATCAGCACCCTGACGCCCCTGTTGACTTCCCCCAGGACATTCTCCTTGGGCACGAAGACGTTGTCAAACACGAGTTCGCCCGTGTTGGAGCCGCGCATGCCCAGCTTGTCCAGCTTGCGCGCGACCGAGAAGCCCTCGAACGTCTTTTCCACGATGAAGGCCGTGATGCCCTTGCTCTTCTTCGCGGGCTCCGTCTTGGCGTACACGACGATGTAGTCGGCCTCAGGTCCGTTGGTGATCCACATCTTTGTGCCGTTGAGGCGATAGCCGCCGTCGACGGCCTTCGCCGTGGTCTTCATGCTCACGACGTCGCTGCCCGCCGAGTGCTCCGACATGGCCAGCGCGCCCACCTTGTCCCCGCTGATCAGGCCGGGCAGGACCCGTTCTTTCTGCTCCTTTGTCCCGTTCAGCGAGAGCTGGTTCACGCACAGCTGTGAGTGCGCCGCGTAGCTCAGCCCGATCGACCCGGACGCCCGCGAGATCTCCTCCATGATCACGCTGTGTGCTTGGTATCCCATGCCCAGGCCGCCGTACTCCTCATCCGCCGTCGGGCCCAGGAAGCCCGCCTCGCCCAGCTTCTTCCACATGAAGTGCGGGAAGTCATTCTCTCGGTCCGTCCGTGCGGCCACTTCCTCGGGGATCTCGCGGCGGGTGAATTCTTGAACGCGTTCGCGCAGCTCATACAGGTCTTCGGTGGTGGGAGGCGTGAAGTTGGCGGGATGTTTCGATGTCGTCGACGCCGTTCGCAGGACAACTCTTGAATGTACTGGAAGGGAAGTGGTACGGGAAATACGAACGCCCGAGCGAGCCAATCTTGGGATCAAAGCGGACGGCATGGCGGTCGATACTTGAATTCTGTACAGACTGAAAAGAAGTATCCTTCACAGGATCTGGCTGATGCTGTAAAATGATGGGTGTTTGGTCAAGAAGAGACGAGCGAGGTCAGAGTGAATAAAACCCACTGCTCCGCGTGCTGGGCAAAGCCGCGTCTAACCGCCGTTGCCGAGGGAGGCTTCAATCAACTGCGGGGGAGTGTTACACTACTACAGCAGTGTACACACGCACGCACAAATAATGTCACAGGATTCTTTGCAAATGTCGTTGTTGGGCTAAGTGCACTCAGTGTACCTCGTACTTCTCCAGTTGCTGCTAGACAGCGAGATTCAGCCTTTGAGCGAATCATAGTTATGTTCAGATCCCATCCGGCACATATACATGGGCAATCCATTAGAGAACCACAAGTAGCCCTCAACTTTGGAATGACATGCTCAACCTCGGTCACTTTTCAGCGAAAATTCCAGCTAATTCTTCCTCAACTCCCATGGTCGCTCGCACGGATGTCAGTGCAGATAATGTGACTTAATTTCAGTGGCCTTGTGAAGTGTTACAAAACCCCAACCTCAAGCCACCTGAGGCTACTTCATTGAGCATCTGATGGATCTTGTGGATACTCGTAGAGGCGCAAACGCTGGAGGATTGAGCCACGAATGCGAGCATCTGCACCTAAACTCTGTACGCTGGTGGCTGATTGTTCCGACCAGCAAATACGGGAGGAGCAGCGGAGCTGACTGATTGTCGGTCCCATGGAAGAAAGACATCACTAGGACGCCCGAAACGTCAGCGAGGACATAGACTAGAGAGACAAGTTCTTTTCTCACTTGCGCTGACATGGCAATCCGCAGTGGGCGCATGCATGTACAGGAGACGAAACTTTCTCAATGACCGCTCTTCTGTAGTGGTCACCATCCGATTTGATGACTTCACCTGCAGGGCCTTTGTTGATGACGCCGATGAACTTCCTGAGGCTTGGTTAAGGAGAGCAGCCCAGGGTGTAGTGCAAAAAAAAATTGGTTACCATTCGTTGATTGTTGACATGAGGGCTATGATTCTGGAGACCTCGTCAATCACTCCGGGTCTGCAATGAGCTGGCCGGACAAATTGATATTCGTTGATGTTGTCATGAAATGGGAGGCCAGGGGGGTTTGTGATGCGCCAGAATTGCTTGCTGCTATTCTTGGTATGGTAGGACTCGAGCAAGAGAAGTCTGCGTTCAGCCATCTTTCCTTTCCCTGGAGTTCCGAGATGGGTAGAATCGATTGAAACAGAGGGCACAGTCAGTAGTGAAGCGCTCGAAGGAAGATCAAAGGCCAGCGTGCAAGTTTGCGGTGGTCAAAGAAAAGGCAGGTGAGCGCGCCTGCTGGTTGTGCGCGCGACAACATTAGGAGCCTGCAATATCCTCATCTGTTCATTCGCGCACCGGCGATTGCAATGTGCATAAAGAAGCCAGATGAGCTGTGGGGTTGTGCTGGCAATAGATGCGAACTTCGTCCGGCATCGTTATGCTCCTACATCAGCGTTTGCGCAATGTCTTGCTTCCTTTTGAGCGTCTCAGCATCAACATCCACCGTCCTGAATAAGTCTTCCTGATGGACAAGGAGAGTACAGAGTCAAGTGTTAGCGGTGATATGATGAGACTGTAAGGCTGCGCACGGCTGTGTTGATCGGCCATGGCCTGCCAATCGGTCGCCGATCGATGGGACAAGAGGTGAAGGTGCAAGATCCGGAAATCCCATCGTCAGCCGCAGTCAATGTCGTCAATGTGGCGATGCTCGGAAAAACTGCCCGGTTTGAGAGTTTTCCCGATTCCGACTCACTTTCTCTCCTGCGGTCCCAAGATCCCAAGATTCACACATCGTCTCAGCTTCTGTCTTCCGACTCTTCTACATAACAAACAACCTGCAGGAATTCCTGTATCTGCAGCTTTGTTCCGGGTTTGGTTTTCATCAACGATGTCATGGGCATTGTATCTCTCGGTACGACCAAGTATTGACCGCTTCTCCTCCGTCACTTTCTCACCAACCACAGTGAAACGGATCCCACGCCCCATGCAGCGAGCCAATCGAACAACAAGATAGCGTCATTGTACATATCAAAATGCCATATCTTCACACGTCTTTCATTGTTCAAGCCGAGCCTCTTCGAGCTAAGCATGTGCGTTTTCTGCAGCCTCCCGCTGTGGAACATCACACTAGCAACTGCAAAATGTGCGATAACATGGTCAAACAACATTGCCACTCATTATTGTCCATAATTTAGGTCTTTCTCAGTACCCACAACACTCCCTTTGGCCACTCACATGGCGTTGCCCACTTGATGATGGCGTCAACATACATCTGTCGCGTCTCTACAGCCAACCCTTGTATGCCGTGCAGAGGGTGCCAAGGTCGTGCCGGTCACCAGGTTACTGAAACAGAGACTCCCACTGGATGACATCTATATTCAGGTCCTTACGGTGAGAGTTGGTGTCTCTACAGTCATCAGCGCCTCCTACGTATACCTTCTTTTGAGTATCATGAAAGCTTCTTAGTTAGGCAGATATAAGGGAGACTATTGACACCTTCAGACCACCTCCCTCCCCTATTAACTCGTCCAAGTGTGCAAACCCATCGAATCTCAAAATCGGATAATCATGGCACCCGTTGCTATCACTCCCCCACCAGTCGAACCCAAGCTCGGGCGACCTGGTATGCATCGCGCCAACACTGCCAACATGGGCACGAAGCGAAAGATCATCTGCTTCTCAGGTATGCCTGTCCGTATTAAAGAACTCGGCTCCATCTAACAACCCATGTCAGACTTTGACGGCACCATTTTCATGCAAGATACCGGTCATACTCTTTTTGATAACTTTGGTTGCGGTCCAGAAAAAAGGAAGATCTTGGCGCAGCAGCTAGAGTCTGGAGAACGCAGCTTTCGCGAGGTCTCAGACGAGCTCTATGCCTCACTGGATGTTCCGTTCGAGGACGGCTTCGAGGTCATGAAGACCGCCCTGGCCATTGACCCAGACTTTGAAACCTTCCACGAGTTCTGCGTCAACAACAACATTCCTTTTAATGTCATCTCAGCCGGACTCAAGCCTGTCTTACGCAAAGTCCTTGACCACTTCATTGGCGAGCAAATGAGCAAACACATTGAAATTGTGGCCAACGATGCCAAAATTGCCCACGATGGCAGCAAATGGGAAGCTGTGTGGAGACATGACACCGACCTTGGTCACGACAAAGCCCGATCAATAAACGAGTATCGGGCAGCCGCACAGCTAGAGAGCGACAACGGCACAATACCAATGATTGTTTTTATTGGTGACGGCGTCTCAGATTTACCAGCAGCGCGTGAAGCCGACGTACTTTTCGCTCGCCGAGGATTGAAGTTGGAGGAGTATTGCAATGAGCACGGCCTCTCGTACATTCCTTTCGACACATTTGCCGACATTCAAAGGGAAGTCATTAAGATTGCCAAAGTTGATGACGAAAAGACACATGGCAAAGGTCTGCCATCCAACTTCAACCCTCGCGCCAACATGTGGAGAAGGGTCAGTAGCCGGGCCGCTGTGCCTGTGTTCGCAGCTCTCAGTCCGCGCAAAGAAGAGAAGGCTTTCTTGTGGCCAGAAACTTTTACTCAGCCAGCTACAGTGCCGAACAAGGAGGAAGCGACGGCCGCTGTCGCAGCTCCAGTGGCGTAGATGGCTGGTTTCGTTAGATCAGATCCGACCTTGGACACTGGTAGTTTTTCGATTTTTTGGTTTGTCGAATCATAGCGGGAAGCAATGGTTGATTGTGTTTTGAGACAGCTCACAGCGAGAAAGAAATAGAAATAGATCTGCATAGACAGACTAGTATTCTAGACAACATAGAGATCGAGTGAAAGAAAACTCTCCTGGAAGAAATGTGACAACGAATAACAAATATCTTCCACAACAGAACTCATGCTTCTCTCGGTGAGTTCTTTGAGTCCAGCAAACCAGCCAATGATTGCGATGAAATACTTTTCTCCAACATAAACAAATTTTGGATATATACATATGCACACGTCCGATACTCCAACCCTCCAACTCTGTATCGGCTCGATTAAACAATACACCTCTACCAATGCCACACGTTGGTGATAGTGGTGGCGGCGGTGGTGGTGGTGACGTTGCCGCTGCTCCATCACCCGCGCAACACCTGTCTGTGCCTGCAACTTTTGCGGCCAAAAAGTCGCGGATCCTTGCAGACCTCAACCAACCCGAGGGCGCGTACTCGGACAATTCGCCCAAGGGCACGGTGGACGCGCAGATCCGCGACCTGATCGACGAGATCAATCGGTACGAGGGGCTCGTGACGACGAGTAGTTGCGCGGGCAGGGTTGCCGTGTTTGTCGAGGGGCCGAGAGTCGAAGGGCGTGGTGATGACCGCCAAGATGGCGGGCATGATGAGGATGAGGTAGAGACGTGGGCGGGGCAGGATGGGCAGCGAGGCGGAGGACGTGAGGCAGCACGAGAAGAAGGGGGAGGAGGAGGAGGAGGAGGAGGGAGGGGGGGAGAAAGTCTGAGCGTGGAGGTAAGCGGTAAGGTAGGAAGGGGGAAGACAACGACGACCACGACCTCAACGTCTCCAGGAGGCAAAGGCGGAGGACGCTGGCTTTATGTCTCGCATGATCCTATCCCTGTCCCTGCCCCTCCTATACGGATCGCCAATGCCAATGCCACTGCCACCGCAACCACCCCTGCCGACGCCGTCCAGAGCACGGATGAAGCAGCGAACCCAGCAGCAAACGAGCCGAAGCAAGAATACTTTTCCACCCTCTTCCAGCTGAGTAGCCCGTCACGCTCATCGCTGTCTTCTTTCCCAGCATCATCTCCCCCTCTGGCATCTCGATCATCACCATCTCTGACCCTATCCCTCCTGTCCCCCACGGACCAACCGTCCCAGCTGATTCACCTGACATTCTCGCCGCTGATCCTGCACGTCCACTGCGCGACGCTCCGGCATGCCCGCCATGTGCTGGCAGCGGCGGTGAACGCGGGGTTCCGGGAGAGCGGGGTGCAGAGTCTGCGCGCGCTGGACGATGCCGAACACGGCGTCATGGTTGCCGTGAGGACGGCCGGGCTGGCTTTTGAGACGGTCGTAGGTGTTGCTGTTAATGCCCAAACACCTCGGCAGGAGACGGTCACCTCTCCAGCGGGCGGCGAGGATCCCGGCGGTGTGGGAATTGACATGGCTCAACCCACAGGCCAAACCGAGGCGATGATGCATAGGGTCGTCGGCGAGGAGTACCTCGCCCTGTGCGCCGCGGTGGTCAACGAGCGATTCGCGTGGAATGTCGAGCGCAGGGAACGGTTTCGACGCGAGCTGAAGAGGACGATGGGCAGGGAGGGATCGAGTCCCGATGCAACTCGTGAGAACAAGACCCAGCCAGAGTGGGAAGACAAGGAACAGCGGAGGAGGCGGAAGAGACAAGAAGGGCTCGAGAAGCAGAGGATCAAGAACGAAAAGGACGCGACGAACAGCACGACAAGCCACCGAAATGAGGTCGAGGTGGAGGAACTGGATCAGGATCTCTCAATGCTGGACCTTGATTGAAAAAAGCACTTTCTACTACCTCTTCTTCCGGCTCGTGGACTGTACCACATGGGCACATCTACAGCTGAGCCTTTCGGCCTCTAGCAAGGAACGGCCTCCTCTTCACTTCCCCCCGAATCAATACTTCACCATCCATCCTTACAATCCCGAAATCCGTCAATCCGGCAGCCTCGAAGTAGCTCCTCAATTCCTCCTCGCTGAACCCGGCATGGGCCACCGTGTGCATGACACGCTCCTTCGTGGCATCCGAGCTCTCCTCCATGGCGTGGGTGACGAAGTCCAAAATTAAAAACACCCCTCCTGGCCGCAACCGTTCAACGAGCCGTTTTGTGGCTAGTTGAATGTCTTGGAAATGGTGATATCCCAGGCCTACAGCCACGAGGTCGAAGTCGAAGAATTTAGGCGAAGCTAGGTGCGAAGGGCGAGGGTCCTTCGGGTCAAGAAGATTGCCGACCACGGCGTGGGCTGTCAAGTTTTCGTCGAGCCTGTCGTCCAGCCCGAACGAACCATCCACCGATGATGAGGTATTGCCAGTGTTTGTGGAGTCAGGATTGAAACGCATGTTGTAAGCCTTCACCATGTTTTCACTCAGATCGATGCCAACGTATTCCGTGGCACGGGCGCCGAGAGCATGTGTGATGGTTCCCGGTCCACATGCATAGTCCAAAACGCGTACCTGTCGTTTAGGGGAGGACGGTGATTGGGTTTCGAACGTCGCTGAAGGGTCGATGAAGTCCACGCCGATCCAATCTACATGCTGGTGGATGAATGCGGTTACCTTGTTGAGAAGATCTCGTTGCCATTCCTCCGAGGTGTATCGCGAGGCGAAGTTACTGTTGAGCGATCTTGTTAGCCGAATCCCGGTGGTTCGACATATCCCGTAATACAACGTATATCATCTAAGTGATGAAGTGGTGCAGGATAGAGAGACAGTCTCATTGACGTACTTCCAATGTGCGCGATTTGCTTCGGTGAACGCCTCATTGTCAGGATGATGACTTTCATCTCCATCAGGAGCCTCGTGATGGTGATGGTGATGACGGTCTGAGGTTTCGGCCATTGTAACGATGAGTTCAGCTTGTAAAAATTTCCTCTACTAGGAATATAGATTGGTAGAACACTTGACTTCAGACAACGCAGCGCACCCACGATGTAATTATACCCCTCCAGTTGTCCAGAAAATGTATCCGAGGGTGGAACAAAGCACACAAAGCTGAAGCTGAGATGGACCGGAGAGTTTCCCTGATCACGGAGACATATCTGCGTGATGCCGTGGGTACGTACTTGGTAGCGTCACGGACTGTGCGAGATCGTGAGAAGAGGGCAAGATGCCGACAGGAAGCGCAAACCCTCAGATACTGACGTCCGCAAGCTCTGACATGTGACGGACAATCACAATAGTAGAAAGATTGCTGGTACCAAGACAGAAAGATAGAGGGGAGCAATCGCAGTCAAGATAATTAGTGTCCAGGTGGTGCAGGCATTGAACTTTGATGACGCAATAGTCGACACGCTTTCTCCAAGCCAACGCGTTCCGCGGCGAGTTTTAAGTGGTGAGGCGGTGGCAGGCATCAACGACGATCAAAGATTTGTCAACAGCTCAAGTACCTTGGGAGATCAATAACGGATATTGTCTTGGATATTTTGCGCTGCCACATCAGAATATCCCTTCGTTGCTGGATTTGTATGGTCTTCACGAGTCCCGTTAGCAATGCCACCTCGAAAATCGGCAGCTTCGAAAAGGGCGACCCCTGCCTCCAAAAAATCACACAAACGCCAATTGTCACAAGTCACACCCTCGATCTCGCCGGGAAGCAGGGTATCGAAGAGATTGAAGGAGTCTGCCGAGAAGGATCAACGTCGCGGCAAGACCACCCCCACGAAGAGCAAGTACTTTCAAGAGCCCGACAGCGAGGATGAGGATGTCGATATCAAGGAGGATGAGAGCGAAGAGTCGGGATATGAAGACCAAGAGGCATCGGAAACAGATCAACCCTCGACCGAGGAGCCTGACACAGAAGACGATTACGAGTCTGACGAGGAGCACAAAAGGAGAAAGCCGAAAAAGAAGACCGTCAAGTCTGGGGGTGGGCTCACTGGTGGCATCCAGGCTGTGGCCAATGCCGTGCTAGAACAAGGCAAAGAGCTCTGGAGACCTGGAGTGAAGACGGGTCTGGGTCCAGGCAAGCAGGTCTTCATTGAGAAACCGAAACCCAGGGATGATGGGGGGATCAAGTATGCTGCTGAGAAGATCCATCCGAATACTATGGCTTTCTTGAAAGATTTGAAGGAGAACAATGACAGAGAATGGCTGAAGAGTAGGTCGTGTGCTCCCTTGGGTGATTCATGCATGTTTCTGGCACTTTACAAAATGTTTGGACCATATCTCACGTCGCCAATACTGACATTGGTTGGGGACAGTGCACGATGTTGATTATAGGGCATCCTGGAAAGACTGGGAAGGATTTGTAGAAGCATTGACCGAGAAACTTACAGAGATTGACGAAACAATCCCAGAGTTACCGCCAAAGGATGTGGTATGTGCGAGAGAAACCACTTTGCTACGACTCTCGCTAATCTACCTGATATCAGGTCTTCAGGATCTACCGCGACATTCGATTCTCTTCTGACCCGACTCCTTACAAAGTATGTTGCCCCGCGAGCTGCTTGTCGAGGTTGAAATGCATGTTACTCACACATCTCAAAGCCTCATTTCTCTGCAGCATGGTAAAAGCCCCGAGTTCCCTCGTTGATATCCTGTTCTAACTGCCGCTAGGTCTCGGACTGGTCGTAAAGGGCCTTATGCGTGCTATTATGTGCATATTGAGCCTGGAGGCAAAAGTATCGTTGGTATGACATGCATCCATCGTCAAATTCCCCGCTAAGCATTGAACGTGACAGGTTCTGGGCTGTGGATGCCGGAGTCCCAGCCCTTGGCCCTCCTGAGAGCGAACATCGATCGCAAGCCGGAGAAACTGAGAAGAGTCCTCACAGAGCCTCAGTTGCGGAAGCAGATCTTGGGCGTCGCATCGAACGACGAGAAGAAGGCGGTCAAGGCATTTGCTGATCATAACAAGGAAAATGCGCTGAAAACGAAACCGAAGGTATGTGTTTCATCCTCTCTTTTTGTGTAAAAAAAAAACTCTCTGCCTGCGCACACGGACGAGGGGAGGACAACGACTCGTGAACACATGTTCTCGCTGCTCCCAAGTTAGCCACATCAGAATCTGGCAACTAAAGGAACTTGCCAGCAAATCCCTCTAGGATGAAAGGCCAGACGTGCAAAGAGGACAAAATTGTAGAGCGGAGGCACCTGCTTGCGTGACTGTCCCTCAACTCAACAGCATAATTTGCTTGATGTGTCTGCACCAGACCTGAAAACCCCTGAAGCCCCCGGCTCGGTCTCTCGACTGCAAGGAGCTAGGACCTCAGGGAGGTGACATGCAGCCATCAGGTCTCTCGCGCAGCAGAGGCCATTGATGCATGTGCGCACAGACTTGACAAATGAACACGCGTTGCACACACAATTGGAGCCCAAAAGGACTAAGACAGGGAGCTGCCGGGCTTTGGAGCGAAAGACCTACAACTGCCCCTCCTGGAAGCCCATATTCTCCGGGGCCTCCCCTGTTGGCGGCAGCCGGCGCAGTTCTCATCACCACTGCAGCATTCCTCGTTGCCCAAGGAGTTCCTCACGAACAGAATGCACTTGAGCATCGAGTACAGGTCGTCTGTACTGAACGTTGCATGATCTAGACTGGGCTGACGCTTTGTTTTGACAGGGCTACGACGCAGACAACCCGAATATCGATCTCCTTCGGCTGCGCTGTTTCACTCTTGGAAAGCGAATCCCCGACGAAAAGGTGGTCGGGGAGCAGGGACTTCAGACCATTCTCGAGTTAATTCGTCCCATGGTTCCCTTTGTGAGTCCACCTCTTTGCCTCCCATTCGTGCCCATTCGTGCGCATTGTGAGCCTGGACCACCTGCCGGGTGCTACCACAAAGAATTCTGATAAGATTGGCGCTGCGACTGGACAAAGCTTATGCGTAGACTTTGCAATTGTTTTGGGTGTCCAATCATCACGTCCACCTCGAAACATCAGCGAGCATGGCGAGATGACCGGGCCGCCGTGAGCCCAGGCGGTACCCAGGTGGACTTGAGTTGCTCCCCACCTATGCCGTTAGATACAAACTCTGACCAGAAACACTGCTGCGAAGACCCTTTACTGACTTCCCGCACAATAGGTCACATACCTCAATAGTGTCGTGATGCCAGACGATGACGAATCTAGTAGCGATGAGGCAACTGGCTGAGGAGACAAGTCAGCAGGGAGAGTTCTGGGACGAGTTCTTGCCACAGTCTTTCAAACAAAGGTTTGGTGGCGGTAAGAACCTGGTACTCCGGACTTTGCCTGGTTCACAGCAATGTTGATGTATGGAGAGACCTCTGGAGATCTTGGACGCCCTGTGACATCAATTCACTCTGTTTTTGTTCCATCCGTGGTTCCTTTGTGACATCTCACATCTCTTTCTCCCTCTTTAATACAAAGAGCACCACGTACACCAAAGTGACCAGCATCCGAAGCCAATGGACCAATAGTGTCGTCGGCAACTATCATTGGATAGTCTGGGTCTCAAATGCGAGTCCAGTTTGTGGTTTCATCTGGAGCGCTGTCACTTCGGATCAATAGTGACACTGTCCAAGCAAAAGCCCATGAATGACAGCTTGCCTTGTACGAGGCACATTGGCGCAAAACGTGGTGGTGGCGGTCACTGTGACGTGGCAATGGAGTGACTGGTGACTTAGTCTTCGAGTATATTATTTCGATGCTTTCCGTATCGGACATGGTGCCATTTGTTTTGTCTCAGGTGTTCCAAGTTCAGCTGAGCGGTCCACTTTTTCACCTGTGGGAACAGCCAGTCATGGTTCGATGGAGCGGGGACTGGTGACGGGGAGGCGTTGGGCCAGATCAACGACAAGAAGAGAAATTACTGCAGGCTCC